GCCGCGTTGTCCATGCTCAGCTTTGCCCCTGGGACGGGTGCAGTGCGGTCCTCGCTTCTCTTTGAGGCCGTGGCTCATGACAGTGGCCCCCGCCTGGGTGTGAGCCTGCTCCGTGCCTGCCCTGGTGGTCCCTCTCACCTGACCCCTCGCCAAGTGGTTTCTCTGATGATCTCACCCCGCCCCCCAAAGGGACGTGAACCCTCGGTTCGGGGACATCCTGCAGAAGCTGGCCCCGTTCCTCAAGATGTACGGCGAGTACGTCAAGAACTTTGACCGGGCGGTGGAGCTGGTGAGCACCTGGACGCAGCGCTCGCCCCTGTTCCGGGACGTGGTGCACAGCATCCAGGTAGGGCCTGCGAGTCCTGGGGGGAGCTGGGGGGCTGGTCTCCACGTGGAGGACCCGGGGCCATGGCAGGATGTGCCCGGATGTGCTGTGGGCACTTTGATCCACAGACTGACTCCTAGAGACATCTCATCTGTCTATGCCCCCGGTGGGGACACCGTGGCTGGAGAGGTGTGCGGTCTGTGCGGGTCCGGCTGCTGAGGGCAGACCGGAGCCCGGGCTGTGGGCCTCGGCGGCGAGCCAGGCAGTTAGGAGGGTGCTACTACACGTTTCCTCTCCTGCAAAGTCTGCTCGCCTCTGGCTGCTGCTGCCTCCTGCTGTGTCGCCCTTTTTGTGTGGATTCATGAGGTTTCTGTTAAGAGTGTTAACTGCCATCTGTCATGTGTGTTACAAATGATTTTTTCCTATTGATTTTTTAAAACTTTTTAGCTTTTTGATGTTTTCTATACAAAAGTTTTGGTTTTTAATTAGCCATATTTGCCAATTTTTTAAAATAAAGTAATGCTTTTAAAAGTCTTTAAAGTAATGCTTATAAATGCATTTCTCACCTCCCAACGTTATAGAAATTGTTTTCTTCCAATGTATGGCTTCATTTTAAAAATTAAAAAATGCCATTTCAGAACAATTTCCCTGTGGACTGTGGGAGGAGGTAAGAATCTAGTTTTATTTTTGTGAATAGTTAGCTGCTTACCCTAACATCACTAGTGCAAGCACGCGCGCACACACACACACACGCACACGCACACACACACGCACACACACACGCGCGCGCGCACACACACGCACATACACACACGCACACGCACGCGTGCACACACGCGCGCACACACACACACATGCTTCAGTATGTCCTGGAGAATTAATGGGCCCAGAGACCCTTCGTGCAGGGGCTTGGAGACCAGACGGGCCTGGTCTGGCCTTCCACACTTTCTGCATTTCCCAGACCCTCTGTCAGCGTGACTTCCGTGTGGAGTCCCCGAGCCTCCCATGGCCCTCAGCGCCCTGGCCCTCTCCAGAGAGGGGGCTCGAACCCGACTCCTTGCTTCTCCCCCCGCCCCCCTCCCCTCACTATGTCTGGGTGCTCCCAGCTTTCCCCACGGAGGTTTCTCTCCCTCCCTGAGCTGTGCCTGGGGCCGACCCACAGCCCCGAGGGTCTCGTGCTGCCAGGGCCTGCAGGCCCAGTCACCCTGTGGCAGGGCGGGTTGGGGTTGGCCCAAGCAGGGCCCCCCAAGGGTGGAGGTCTAGGTGGTGTGAGTGCCATGGCTCTGCACCTGTCGAGGCCAACAGACGGAGAACAAACCCCCTTCCTAGGACACAGATCACAGCGCGCTCTCCTGCCCTGTGTGCCCCTGTGGCCTCGCCAGCGGCCACTGTCCGGCCAACCGCTGTCCAGCAGCATCGTAGTTGCCAGAAGAGCTGTGGGCTCACCCCCAGCCTCACAGACCCAAGCTCCCGGGCTCCACTGCCCTCACGGCCCAGAAGCCTGTGTTTGTTAGTTTTCTTTTCTCTTCCTACATCTCTTCTTCTTCTTCTTCTTCTTAATAATAATAATAATAATAGTAATAATAAAGCTATAACTGAGGAAGTTGAAACCTGTCTAATTTGCAGTGGGCAGTTGGTATCTGATTGGTTTTCCTGAGGAAGGAGAGAAGAAAAGGCAGCATGGGGCTCCATCTGGTGCAGTTCTCCGCTAAGGCCAGGCCTCGCCGCCTCTAGACTCTGGGCTGTGGTGGCCGGGCCCTGGGCGATGCCAAGGGCGCCCTCCTGGCTGGGGCAGCTCACCCCACAGGCCAGGTCCTGGGTCTGCAGCCTCGGGGGTGGGAGGACCAATGTGTTGTCACGGGCAAACATGGTCCGGGTCACAGCCGGGCTGGACACCGCACCCCACACCCTGGGCTCCATGGTCTGCGGCCGTCAGAGGCCACCCGCCCCCAGGCCCGGTGGTGTGGCACCTTCGTGGGTGAGGCTGGGGTGTTCTGGAGGCCTGGGCACCGGGAGCCCCCCAGCTGAGAACCCGTGTGGACAAACCAGGGAAGGCGTGGCCTTTGGAGGGTCCCTTGGTTCCATCCAAAGCATAGTCTAAATTTTTGGAACTTTTATTTTGAAATAATTTCACATCTTTACAAGAAGGTTGCAAAAATAGGGAACTTCACATTTTGTCTTGTTTACTTTACAGCCTTTCCAACCACACACATGGGGTCATTAGTTTTGAACCTTTAGGCCAAGTAGAAGCTGTGTAGCCACTGTGTGTGAGCACAGCGCGTCCTGCTCGCCAGCCCGCGGCGCAGCCATGCTGTCCCCCAGCCCTGCAGACGTCACCTGTTGTCCGTGTGCTCCATTCTCTGGCCCACATGCCAGCCCGGGACCACAGTCGCCTTTGCTACCATGTCTCCGTCTCCGCCTCGGCCTCGGCACTGTCACTTCTGCAGGAGACAGCAGCCGTGTGTGCGCACTGTCTCTGCATCTGTGTTTATCCGCGGGTTCTCCACGCCATGAGCACCCTGTCCTGCCCTGGGACAATCTCCCACTGCCCACTGCTGGGGTGCTCCTGCAATTCAGGTGCTGCCAGCCCCCCAGGGTGCCGGCCTCCAAGCCCCTTGACACGTGGGGGGGGGGGCGGGGGGAGTGCAGGTGCCCGGGACAGCCAGAGGACAGCGCTCACACTTGTGGTTGGTCTGGAGGAGGTGCTGAGGCCAGAGGGAGGGTTGTGTTGAGGAAAGAGAGGGGGAGCCTGGGAGCACCTCATCCCACCCACACAGCATCCGTGGGGAGGAGGCCAGACCCTGGGCTTCCCTCGGGGGGTGGGGAAGCTCCTGACTTCCTGGGGGGGGGGCGGGGGGGGCTCAGTCAGGCTGGGCGAATGTGGTGGGGCAGCACTCAGGAGGGAAGGTGGGGTCTCTGTCCCTCTGTGAGCATCCTCCCCCAGGGCGAGGTGCAGGAGCCAGGTGGTGGCCTGGGTCGTCCTGGTGCCACTGCTCCGCCTCTCCAGGCCTCGGGCAGCTCCTGGAGGCAGTGGGGGCCCCTGCCCCACATGGTGCCCTCTGTCCCACAGAAGCAGGACGTGTGCGGGAGCCTGACGCTGCAACACCACATGCTGGAGCCGGTGCAGAGGGTCCCCCGCTATGAGCTGCTGCTCAAGGACTATCTAAAGCGGCTCCCGGCAGACGCCCCGGACCGGCAGGACGCGGAGAGTGAGCAAGCTCAGAGGCCACGGTCCTGGGTGGCGGGAGAGACAACCACAGGGACACAGACAGACTGGGAGGGAGAGAGCTCCAAGTGCCCTGGAACATTTGGGAGGTGACCGAGGGTCTTGGAGATGAAGGAGGCCCCTGCTGTGCGCAGTGTGGGGGAGACAGGGTCCTGGGAGGTGCTAAGTGCCTGGGCCTCAGGGAGGGCCTCGCTGGGGGCCAGGGTCACTCCTGGCCCGAGCCCAATGGCCGGCACACAACACAGGGCAGGGCGCACCCATGGGATGAGGTGTGAGCCCCCAGGCCCAGCAAGCCAGGTCTGCCTGCAGGGCCGCATCCCTGCCTCCCAAGGGGCCAGGCCTCTAGAGCAGGCCCCACCCGTGGGACAGGCAGGGCAGGTCTACAGCCTCGCGGGTCCAGGGGGTATGGAGCCGCTGGCGCCCTGAGCCACGCTTCCTCCTGCAGAGTCCTTGGAGCTCATCTCCACAGCCGCCAGCCACTCCAACGCTGCCATCCGGAAAACGGTGAGTGGGAGGGGACCCCAGAGGGTGTGAGGGCCCCTCAATGTGAGGCAGGGAGAAGTGGGGGGGGCAGTGCCATCTGCAAGCACACACACCTGTCCCCAGGTGGGCTCCATCAGTGAGGGCGCGCGCGCGCGCACACACACACACACACACACACACACACCCCCAGGGGG